GAGCGTGCCACACATGCAGTTAAGGAGCTGAGTGAGCTTTTCTCACCATCTATCACTACATAAAGTAAAGGAAATAAGCTCTTGATCAGTCATTACCCAACACCTTGGCCCCTGCCACGCTTATTTTGGCGATTTGTCATTCCCTCCTGGGGAAAATGGATGAGATTCAAAAGGACAGTTCATGGAGAAACATGTGCTAACTAAACAAAAAGTATCGAGTTCCTCTGAGTAGAGATTATATTAGCTATTCAGCACAGAATCAAAAGATGACCTTTGTATTGTAAAGCCAGACTGCCACCACAGCAAACAAAATAGCAAGCAAAAGAGTATTTGGATATGATGAGGGTTATTATTCAGAAGAGAACTGCTCAGGAACCTATCTATATAGACATATTCACACATACGTATTATATATAAAATATATATTATATTAATATATACATTATACATATTAACTCTCCCAGTTGCATTCTAGGGAAGAAACTCACTCCTGATGCAACAGACTTGCTAAAATGTTTTCAAGCTCATCACACTGCAGATAGATATTACCACTCTGGGATATGTCTGAGGCTGTTCAGATGGTCATTAAGAGTTTTGTCAAGTATACACTAGTGGCACAGTTATTGACTTGCTATTTATATCCCAAGAGTATGTCCTGATTGAGACAAGGCATTGTTGTCCCAGGAATTATGTCATACACACATATCAAAAAAGAACACCCTCAAAGTATTTATAAATCTTCATACATTTTTAACATTTACAAAGCCCAGTTTGTAAATAAAGAGCTGGTATTCAAAAAGATAATGTGACTCCTCCTACTTCCAGTGTTAGGCAACCACAAAAGACTATATTTTAACTAGCCAGTATTGAATAATTTTAGCCTCTGTACAATACAAAATGCTAAAGCTCCTAAAGGTGCAGTTTCCAGCACAGATTATATACACACACACAAAAGGAAAAAACAAAGAGTGATTTTTTTTTTTTTTTTAATCCACTCATTTCTACCACATTTTTCCACAGCCACATAAATCCATCTAACATGAATGGACTGGTCAAATATACTATGTGTATCAGTTTCAATGACATAGTTATAGCAGCAAATATTGGCATATACTGGAGGTCAAAATATTTGCACCTCCTTCCTCCTATGCTCCTAAAGGCCTTCAGTCTAAAAACACAGGTAGAAAAAGGAAAAAGAATAGTTATAAAATACTCAATGCAAATGAATAATGTGACAAAAGGAAGGCAAAAGCTTTGTTAACTGCACAAATTTTAGGAGATGGCATTACTTTACATGGAACCAAAAAAAGAATTGGGAAAATATAGTTTTAGATTATCTGCCTTATCACAAAAATCTGGGTTTTGTAGGCTCATGGTAGAGATGAGCTGTAAATTGGGATTTGAAAGAGGATAAGCAAGGACTTTTTCAGGTTTCCTGAAGTGTTTCTCATGCTAGAGAGGAAAGGCAGGGCTAAGTAAGAAAGTCTTTGTGGGAGAAGCTGGTAGCTGAGGAATGAAACCAAGGCATGACTCTGACACAGAGGCTGAAAGTTAATATTGAGCTGATCTGCTCTGTCCAGCCTGCAGCCAAGAACTGAACGAGAGAAGCAAACAAAAGAATTTGCTAAATTATGTAAGAATTATGTACATTAATGGACTAAAAGAGGCAGCCCAAAGCAACAAGCTAAGAAGAGGAATTCAGAGGCAATATGATCCATAGAAAACACAATAATTGTAAAGGTCAGAATAATGAAGGCTGCAGTTCAGAGAACTGCAACAGAGCACGTTTAGGGTTCAGGCTTCATCTACACAGATGAAGAACCAGATTTTGGTGATGCTGTGGCAGAAAGTTAATGTTATTTGGAAATGAATACTAGGTCGAAGATAAGGACTTAGTGAAAAATAAAGTCTGTTCATGGGCTTCTGCAGCTAGAAGAATAAAGCCTGTTATTTTAAGCTAAAGGATCCAGGGCAGAACCCAATAGTAAGTACGAACACAAGAAGAAAAATGAAAATACAAAGGAGCCATCTAAATGAAACTTAATTACAGCCCAGGGGAAAAAGTGACACTTAAAAATGCAAGTGTTGTCTTTCAAACGAAATTTCAGTTGCTTTGCAAAGAGAATTTAATTAAATCTTATGAAAAGCTTCACAGGTAAATCAGTTTATTATAGCCATGAGAGATCTATTGTTCCATTTATAAAAATTAAAAGCCAATGCACTTTCCCTCCTTATTTAGAAGCATCCTGTAGATGAAAAGATTTAGACTTCCGACCTACACATTACTGTGGTTTTCTTTTTAAAGTCAAGATTTAAAATGAAAAACATATCTGTTGAATATGTAAAAGAAAGTTCATGACCTTTAAAAGATCTTGAATAACAGACATGAACTAAAAGCTTTGCTTACAAGTCAGGAAAAACGCATTTGAATAATTCATTCCAGAATGTTGAATTAGTTCAGAAAAATATATTAAAAAAGGTGGCCTTTCTTGTAGGGAGGAAAAAAAGCACAGTATGATAAGACTGGATAAGATTTTCTCATTTGGACTCACATAAAATTCATATTGATTATCAAAATGAGAAAAGGGAAAATAAGAAATGAGAAAAGATTAATATAGCTTTGATTCCACCTGTATGAAAAACATTACAAATATTGATCTTTCCACCGGACACATGCTTTTTTGATACTGGCATATTGAAATCTATATCTGATGAGGTTTAATCAGCCATCACT